TTAAGCCACCAGGCTAGAAAGCGGAAGCCCGTGAGTTCTCGTCCCACCGTAGGCATGAAAACCAGTTGGGTGACTTTGGGCCAATCACCAGGAGATGGTGAGTTCTAGTCCCGCCTTAGCCATGGAAGCCAGCTAGGTGACTATGGACCAATCACTCTCTCTCAATCCAATCCACCTCACAGGTTATTGCAGGGAAAATAGGAAGAAAATATGTTGGATATGTTCATTGCCTTGAGTTGTTTATAAAGTAATAAAGGCGGGATACACAAATGTAAATAAATAAAATAAAACAGAAAAATAAAATGAAAATGGGGCATTAAAAATGACTAAATGGGGGCCATTGCAGAGCACTTAAAATGCGATCCTGTGACCATGCTCTCTCTGTGTGTGTGATGTTGGAACTTTGAATCTGGGTCATAAATCCCCTTTTCAGAGCCCATAGTAACTGTGAACAATTGTTACATCACAAGTGGCTAGTCACAAGTGGAGGACCACCCGTAGGAATCCTTTGTAGACTTTCCAATTGAAGCGAGCCACTGGGTCTTCTATGTGGAAGAAAACCAGTTCTGTAGCTACCCAAAGACATTTGTCATTGTTGTCTCAGCATCTTCTGGAATTTAGTATTGAGTTCCAGAACGTATCAAGCACATAGGGCTGGTTCCAACACCTCTACCAGAGAACAGATCGAGGAAGTGATGTTGCGGCTGGAGTTCAGGCAACATTCTTAATCTTATGGTAAAAGTCAATGGATGTTGAATATGATAGAGAACCAACCTAGAACTAAGGAGAAATTTCCTGATAGTTAGAACCTTTAATTCAGTGTTTCTCAACCTTGACCACTTGAAGATAGCCGGACTTCAACTCCCATAATTTCCCAGCTGGGGAATTCTGGGAGTTGAAGTCCGGACATCTTCAAGTGGCCAAGGTTGAGAAACACTGCCTTAATCAGTGGAACGGTTTGCCTCCAGAAGTCGTGGATGCTCCAACACTGGAAGTTTTTAAGAAGAGATTGGACAACCATTTAGAATAGAATAGAATAACAAGAGTTGGAACGGACCTTGGAGATCTTCCAGCACAACCCCATGCTTAGGCAGGAAACCCTGTACCATTTCAGACAAACGGTTATCCAACATCTTCTTAAAAACTTCCAGTGTTGGGGCATTCACAACTTCTGGAGGCAACTTCTGTTCCGCTGGTTAATTGTTCTAGCTGTCAGGAAATTTCTCCTCAGTTCTAAGTCGCTTCTCTCCTTGATTAGTTTCCACCCATTGCTTCTTGTTCTACCCTCAGGTGTTTTGGGAGAATAGTTTGACTCCCTCTTCTTTGTGGCAGCCCCTGAGATATTGGAAGACTGCTATCATGTCTCCGCTAGTCCTTCTTGTCATTAAACTAGACATACCCAGTTCTTGTATCCGTTCTTTATATATTTTAGCTGAAATTTGTCTGAAATGCGATAGGTTTCCTGCTTGAGCAAGGGATTGGATTAGAAGACCTCCTAGGTCCCTTCCAACTCTGTTATTTTATTTACCATTTACCAGCTGAAATGAAGTTTCAGTATGAGTGGAATCATTTTGTGGAGTAAACACATTGAGAGCTTTCATTCACAAGAGTATAAAATACTATTATGTCTTTGGTACACTAACGAAAGGGTGGGAAATGCTCCCCCAAGACCCAACCCATACTACTTATTGTGCACCATTCAAGTTTTCCAAGGGCACCGAAGGCGCTTCTTGTCCTGTCCTGTTCATGTCTAGATCTAGGAATCCCCCTTAGTTGAAGATTGAAAGTTCTTTGCCAGCATATCATCCGTTCAAGGTAAAATCTTCTAGCAGTAGTACTGTTTCCAGGCATAAGAATAATATTTTCGTTGCCGGCTTCGCCTCCCCGATTGCTTCGTACCTCCCACTTCGAACTGGCTTAGCCACAATTGAGACGCTCTCACTAAAGCTACTTTTTAATTGATCCTCAGAGAGTAAAGGAGCGCTCCTCCACGCAGCGCAAGTCACAACACATTTGCCGCTGTGACCAAAAGGCACTCCAGGTTGCTTTCAACACCTTTTAAGGTTTTCCTGCAAGCCGTGAACGATTCAGGCCATTGTTCTTCCTACTCAACCCTGTGTTCGGCCCGCCCCTCTTCTCAGAAACCCTTTGAAAGCCAAAGGGGTTTGGGCACAGGTGTAGGTGTGTGTGTGTGTGTGTGTGTGTGATCTCTACGCTTGAGATTAAGTCTGCTTCTGTGCAGAGCAATAATTTAGAAATGTGTTAAATAGCATCCCTCAGATCCTTGCACACCTGTCAGATTATACCACCTGTAGCCTTAGCCATTCCAAGTCACAACAGTTCTGTTTAGTGTCCATTTGGAGTTAATAACGGCACTGAAAAACGTGACTTATGACTGTTATTCACACTTACAACCATTGCAGCAATCCCATAGTCACGTGATCAAAATTCAGACCACTTGGCAAATGGCTCATATTTATGCCAGTTGCAGGATTCCGGGAGTCACGCGATCTCCTTTTGCGATCTTCTCATGAGCAAAGTCAATGGTGGAAGCTGATTCACTTAACAACTGAAGGGGGTCACTTCATGGTGGCTAGAGAGGTCGCAAGAGTGATGGAAGCTGTAGACATCTACAGGACAGGGAGATGTAATGACAGGTGTAAATGACCTTGGGAGACAGGAGGAAGAGCCTACAACCAGACCACGTTCGGATAAGAGGCAGTTGAGTCTTCAGAAGGAATGGGGGCATGGCAGACATCTCAGAAGGGACCCTCCCTAGTCTCTCGGACTGTAAAGATGAGGGGAGAGAGATGTACTTTCAGTCTTGCAAGATTCTGTTAAGGTAGCCTTACGAGAAAGATATAGCTAGTATTTCTGGGGGTGCTTTTTGTTTCGACTTCCCCGCAAGGCAGCTTAGGATTGCTTTTCCAGAATTTGGGAGAGAGCCCAGCCCTTATCCTCCAATAGGGAAACCCTCTAAAACCAGGGGTGGGACCACTGCCTTACCCCAAAGTAGGTAATCCGTGCTAGTTACCTAGTTTGGATAATGAAATTTTTTTTTAAAAAAAACCCTCCATTTTTCATCTGTTTTTATTGCCTGCGGTGTCATGAACTTCATCATCCCCAAAGATTTTTTTTTGTTGGCCTCAGGTTAATACTTTATAAATATTATTAGTCCCTTGCAAATTCTTTCCCAACAGGAAACCGTCTTCTCTGCATACTTTCTAGGCTTCTGAGACATGCAAAAAAATAAATAAATCCTTATGCTTTCTGACTCTAAGGTCCCACTTGGAGAATGTATCCCAGGGCTATTTTGCTGGCCCGAATTGATCAAGTACTGTACTTTCATATTCTGAGCGTGTTGGGGGATTACGGGACAGTAAAATGCGAATTAGGATGTGACAGCTCGCTTCCTATATTTCTTTCTGTCCGGGTTGGTGCAGGAGAATTGGTGGCAGGTTTGATTCAGTTAACAACTGCAACAATAGAAAGAGTCCTCCAAGCAGAGAACTACCCTGTTTTCCCGAAAATAAGACCTCCCCCGATAATAAGCCCAATTGGGCTTTTTGACTTAACACAGAGCATCCTGGCCATCGTGGTGGAAGGCTGGAATAGCAAGGAAGGGACTCTCTGAAGGAAGACAACATGGGAGACTTAGTTTGAACATGCTATGGTCACGCGACAAGCCATGTTGAACTGGGGGTGGGAGGCCTGCCAGTGAAACTGCTTCAGAATGAAAACCGGTATCAAAAGAAAATGGGCAACGGGATTGGAATGCCCAAATCTTACCATCAAAGACTGTTAACCAAACAGTATCTCTTTGAATTGAATTGAATGTCCTAAATCAGAGATGGGCAACTGGCACTTTTAGGACCTGTGGACTTTTAACTCCCAGAATTCCTGAGTGTTGTTGCCCTCCAGCACCCAGCTGAGCTGGTGGCAGTCTCAGACAGTGAGGAGGTTGGGGAGGAACAGGGGCCAGTTCTGGAGTCCGGGGAAGGCTCTGATGAGGGCTCTGCATTGGAAGCAGAGATGGGGCCAGGGCTGTCCGACAGATATCAGCTGCCTTCAGAGTCAGAGATCAGTGGGGCAGAAGAACAGCTGGAGCCTGTTCCCAGTGTGCGCATGTGCAGAGCTGCCAGGAGAAGGGAACAGCTAAGGAACAAGGGCCGACTTGGGAGTAAAGTCACAGGTGGATGGTGAATGGTTGCTCCTATAGGGAATAAAAGAGGAGCGAAAGGGGAGGGGAGTTTGCAGGAGACAATTAGTTTGCTTAATTAGTGTGAAGATTTGTTCGTGACTCTCAGAGACTCCTTGCCAAGTATTTTCTTGTACAGCTTTGCCTTTTGGAAGATATCGGCCTGGCAGCTCTCCAAGGCTGATAAGGTCTGTGGTTGTAAATTCACCCTTCAAAGACTGTTTGACGGGACTGAGAGCCGAGGTGGCGCAGTGGTTAAATGCAGCACTGCAGGCTACTTCAGCTGACTGCAGTTCAGCAGTTCGGCTGTTCAAATCTCACCGGCTCAAGGTTGACTCAGCCTTCCATCCTTCCGAGGTGGGTAAAATGAGGACCCGGATTGTTGGGGGCAATATGCTGATTCTGTAAACCGCTTAGAGAGGGCTGAAAGCCCTATGAAGCGGTATATAAGTCTAACTGCTATTCCTATTGCTATTGCTTTGCTGGATGTGAATGAGAGGAATTCACATTAGGTTAATAAAAAGGGGTTTTGCCAGGACAAAGAGTCTGCTTCGTGATTTTGAGAAGCTTAGGTCAGAACACCGAGGGAGCCATGCCGGCTGGCTTAGGAATTCTGGGAATTGAAGTCCACAGGTCATAACGGGGCCATAGTTGCCCATTCCTGTCCTATATATTTCTTTTCAGCAGAGGAGATGAATTGTTGTTAACGGGATTAAGCGTAGCCTTGGGAAAATGTACCTGTGGCAGACCTTGTTTTGGGATAATCTGGAATAATACCCTTTCTAACTTTTTTTTTTTACAGATGGTCACAAGAACAAAGAAAATATTTGTAGGTGGATTATCAGCTAATACGGTAGTGGAAGATGTAAAGCAGTACTTTGAACAGTTTGGCAAGGTAAGGTCTGATGGGGTTGAACACAACACCCTTCTCTTTTTTTATGACTTTTTATGACCTGGGCAGCTTGTTCTCTCAGAATTAATTTGTGTATCTTTGTGTCTGTGGGTCAGGCTTGTATCTGGTTATGCCTTAAGATGCGCCCGCATTAAGCACACCCATGCGATCATTTCCTCTGATTTAAGATTCTTACGTCAGCGGCCTTAATGGTAAAGTGGGCATTTGTCCATACAGAGATTGTGTATATGCGCACGCCCTGTGTGAACCTGGTGCTTTGCTGCCCATCTCTCTGTCTTGACCCCGCCACCCTCTGAAACTTTTGCCCGCGACTCTGCCCTTGGCAAATACCAAATGTCTCCACCTGTTGAACTTTGCGGCTTTTATCCGTGTGAAGGTGGTGAGTTAAGTACATCGCTGGCATGGTCAGTGGCTGCCAATGACTCTTAGGGTATGCTTGGTTTTAGTGTTCTATATAAATATAGACTTGGATTTCCTTCTGTGGTTTTTCTTTCAAGAAATAGATATTAGACTGCATGTCAGACAGATGGACAGGCATATATACATGTCTCCTAGCATCCTATTGTTTCACTAGCTCCATTGGAGATGCTGTTCCTCAGAGAAACCTGATATTACTTCTTTTCTGGAAACCTTATCTAACAAACCTCGGATTCAACTGATAAGGCCGCATAGGTCGTGTTGCAACCTTTTTCTTCTTTTATTTTTAAGTCGTGCAGTAGCTGCTGATAAAACAGTATAACAATATCTTGATGCCTTGTCTCCTTTGAACTCTTCCAACTAAACCCAAAACAATAAGGGGCCAGTCAACGGGCATTTCTCCAGCTTTTGTCCACTTGGGTTGGAGGTGATGGATTTCGAGGCTGTTGTTCTATGCCAAAGGTCCTCTTTGCCAGTGTGGCAGAAGAACAATTGTATTTTGATTATATCCATGTGCCAAAAGTTGGAGACCACATCGATAGCTGTTTTTTAGATCAGTGTTCTTTTTCCTGACTCACTAACTTTAACTCTCTGTAGACTTCAACTCTCAAGAAATCTGGCCGGGGATCCTGGGAGTTGAAGTCCACGCATCTCAAAGTTGCCAAGTTTGAAGAATGCTGGTCTACACGATGTGTCTCCAACTTGGCCCTTCAGGTCTTCCAAAGATGGACCCCCATTGTTCCTGTAATTGAGTCCCTCCTCCAGTGTGCTGGTGCTACTCCTCTTTCTACATTTGACAGCATGATAGATTTCTACAGAGAAAATGTATTTTACATTCCATCATAGTTTTGGCATGGCTCGTGTTAAAGGCATTGGGTTTTGTGCAGGAAATTGTTGTAATATTTTGCTCCGTGTTATTGGATTGTAAGGTGATATCATTTTGGATATGGTGGCTAAAGGGGATGCGGTGGCTCAGTGGCTAAGACGTGTTGGCGGTTCGAATCCCTAGCGCCACGTAACAATATAATACAATACAATACAATAGAAGAGTTGGAAGGGACCTTGGAGGTCTTCTAGTCCAACCCCATGCCTAGGCAGGAAACCCTATACCGTTCCAGACAAATGGCTATCCAACATCTTC